CATTTCATTTAAAAAAAAAAGAAGTAACATTTTTTGAGGAATTATTGGTATAACCGGTGTATAACATTGCCAAGTAAGTTATGTCAAGTCGTAACTTTGATGATCGTTTTGAAGTTTTATTTGTTCGCTCATTACTGTAAATGTAAATGTTTTAGAAGTTGATAGGACGAATAATAAATTACAAAAATATGCCAATGAATTATGTGGTCGATTTTTTGAAGGAGAATGTTTTTGAAGTAAATAAAATCATGAAATTCTTGAACATATTTCTGGCTTAACCTTTCGAAAGCGCAGATAGAGGGACTGTGGAATGCGTTTCATTTAACGTTTTACAATAGACAATTAAATTGCAACAATAATTTATTTGTGTTTGTTTTTAGTCTGCAGCATTTGTATTTCGAGGATATTTCAAACTCTTCTAAATTGTGAAACATAATGTGTTGATTCCATTAAAAAAAATATTTGCACTGTGACCGAGCTCATTAATATTCATAATTGTAAATGAGTACTGTTGATCAATGAAGGAACAGTATGTAAATGATATGCAAATTAGCGCTATACATTTTTTCTGGGGAGTACCCTGATAGAGTGCAAGTCATGTTTATCTATAGTAGCTTGGAGATGAACCATTAAAGAGCGGTGATCGTCAGTACATGTTCAAATTTCAAAACAAACAATGTATTTCACACGTGTTGTATATGTCGTTATGTATATTTAATGAACCAGGCACAACATTGGCAACATAAAACTTTGGGGGTTTTGTTTTATATTGAGAGTTTTAAATAATTGTTCATTACACATACATTTACTATACACATCAGTACACTAGTGATTGGATAAATATTATTGGAGTTATCACATCAACATTACGTATTCGCCAATGGTATCCAATTCGGTCCAAAAATGTTAACACTTTTCCTAAAATAGCGCCCCCTAATAAGTTACCTATTGATATGTTAATTTTGATATATTTGTCTACCAATTGTCTCTGAACTATGATATCAGTGATTATTTGTTCGCTGCTCAACCCAATGCAACATTTTCTCACCTATGGTGCGAATTAACAGATAAATGTACCCCTGAACCTGTGGG